GGGGGAGAGAGGGGCCTCGAGTTTTTTATTTTTTTTCCTGGGTTTGGAACCTACCTTGGAATCCCGATTAAATTCGGATCACGTATTGTAAGGTCCATTTGAAGGTGATGCTCCCAACAAGATATTCTCCATATATTCAGAGATCGAACTTGAGAACTCTAATTAAAAAGGTGAAACAGTTTCATCACTGTACCACAACCCATGTTGATGGGACCACAAATCTCTTATTATCAAATGATAGGTTAACTTCCCGACATTTGGTGGTCCATTTGAAAGGGCCAATACACCTTGATGATTTGATCGATCGATCGATGGACCCTTCTTGTTTATTTTTGTAAAGAGTCTAACTTCACTAAAATACAAATTCTATTTAAAACGAAAAGATATTAATTAGGTGAACCTTTTGTTTTCATATCAATAAATATTATTTCAGCTGCCTAATAATTACTTATGTAACACAGTATTATTCCTTTAAGAATTTCACAATTCAAAGGTCGACTTGTAGACTCATTATTAGTTTTTAAATTATTGTTTGAACCAAAAAGAACATTTGACTTATAATTAAAAGACGAAGGAGAATTAAGCTCTTAATTAAACTATTCCATATGAATTATGATGACCTTAAGTTTTGTTCGTTGACATTATGTATAATTTTTATTTTCCAGTAGATTTAATTTACCTACGAAAATGGTGTAAACATGACTTCATAGCAGGCAACCTAATATATATATGTTAACATGAAAATTAAATTACTCCCTCTATCACATTTCATGTGATGTGCATGATTGCTTCGAAGTATGATATTGGTTTATTAACTATCAAATTTTTTTATGTAAATTCGAATATATAATCTTTTTTTAAAAATAATTTATATATATATATATATATTTAATAACTACATGAAAAATATCACAAGTCATATATATAAAAAAGAAAATCGTGGTAAAAAGAGAAGAAGATAAAACTCTTTTTGACTCTTCAAATAGTATGTTGTGTCACATAAAGACTAAAGTGGGACAACATGAACGATAAATTACCACGAAAGAATGTAGTGGGATAATTGGACTAATCTTTACATCTTTAACCTGATGAGTGAGTTCTGAGTTCAATCCTTAAGAATTATAAACCCCTTTAATATAAAATAGTTTTACCACTTAGTTCTGACATGTGTATCGTGTGAATCTACACTGAACAAGCCAACAATAACATATGACCAGTAAAATCTCATTAAGTGGCCATGCTAACATATAGATCTGTCACGACCCAGATCGTCGTGATTGGCACCCACACTAACCATCCGGTGGGAGAACCACTACTACAACCCAAACTAAGCAACTAAACCAAAACTAAGGCAATTAAGTTACGGAAGAAAGTTAATTAACTAAACAAATGCGGAATTAAATACCTAGAACCTGAAAGTCAATATACCAAAACTCTAACAAGATTCATAAGTCTAAACGAGAAAATCATCTAAAGAACTAGTCTAAGTCCGAATATGATGGACTAGACAAAAAGAGAACTCAAGGCAGCCCGGAAGAACTGGCTCATCCTTGAATTCGAATCGGCGATCACTGATCTTCTAAACGAGGTCTGTCAATAGCTGCTGGAAGATGCCCTGTACTCAATAAAAATAAAAGCAAGTGCAGTATCAGTACACAACCACTGTGTACTGGTAAGATCACGCGACTATCTCAATAAGTGTAACATATATTAGTCACTACAACAATATAATCACATGCACAAATCGAACATATACAATATCATCAACATATACGAACAATATAATGAACAATTTCACGATTCTCACATATCACAGTTATATTAATTTAGAGCAACATATCGTCTTCCAATATCAATCATCATTAGATATGAACGAACTCATCACAAGTAGATACATAACACAATTCAATGGTCCTCTTACGGAACCCAATTCAATGGTCCTCTCATGGAACCCAAACCCAAACAGTTAGCGTGCCGAAACGTGGCAATCTGATCCCACATTTATGTCGGAACGTGGCAATCGATCCCATAATTATGTCGAAACGTGGCAATCCGATCCAAGTTAGTTATGCCGGAACGTGGCAACCGATCCAGTTAGTGTGTCGGATCGTGATATACCCGCCCATTCAACAAACCACAATCACAATCACAATCATACAACAAGAGGTGATTCATGGCATACAATTATTCAATTATCCTCATTTACAACAAGTGTGATCAATAATGCAACATTTGCATACATACAAGTATCATAATGAAGCAAGAACAAACATACGTCACACAATTATGAAATCACAACCATCACCTACCTCGAAACAAGCTTGAATCCCCTAAGGCACTTGAATCTTCTCTTTCATGGATTCTTTTCGCTTGTTCTTGGTCTACAAACAATCATGATAACACGGGAATCAATAACAATCACTAATTACCCGAATTACTAACAATTCTATGAACCCTAGATCAAACCGATGATCCCAATTATCCAAATTAGGGTTGTTTCCACCATAGAATCTATAACAAAAAACCCTCCCCCATCAATATTCACCCATTCTGTTACATTCTATGGATTGAAAAACGGATTCGGGGAGTGAAAAACTTACCTTAGCTTTAGCCTCAAGAATGGTGAAAAGCGAGTAGGTGTCGCTTGGGGGTCGTTCCTTAGCTCTAAAGGTCGAAAAGTGCATAATGAGGTCGTTTAGGGGTTTATTAACGACTTTAATTCACGTCGGGCCCGCCGCAGCGTCCCCGCCAAAGCGGCATTCTCGAGACAGAGAGTTATTTCAAGAATTCCAAAATTTCCATTTCACAACACACTTCTAACCCACGACGCTCAGTAAATACCCTTTACGCTAAGATCGATTCTGGGAGCTCTACTCGCCCGAATTCAATTCCGTAAAGTCGTATGGATTCCTTAACGAGTTATCTAACTACTTATGTAATCAATATCATAAATGATTCACCCGATTGTTATCAGATTTCCCTACACCTTAATGACTCCGATTTCATCCAAATCTGGACTAGGTTGGGAAATTCCAAGTTACTACGAAAAAAATTTCTGACCTCAATTCTTTCTTCATTGGCTTTTCCCTAACAACGGAATCAGGTCGTTACAAGATCGGAATTCAGATAATGGATTATATTTCAATACGTTCGGAATTAAGTTATCACGTTACCATTTGACTGCAAATAATGTGGCCATGTGACTTAGGAAACTTCAACAATAGCTGTGGCAACTTGGAGAAAAAGAAAGAAAATAAAGAGAAAAATATAATTAATTAATTAATTAAAGCCTAGATATGAAGAGACACCGACCATTGCGGAGTATATCTAAAAAATAAAAGGACTTAAACGTTGAAGTTGAATATTTCTTCTTCTATAGCCGTTTTTTTAATATCCATTTTTTCCAAGTATGACAATATATTATTCAGAAAATCTTAGTATATTTATTACTTAAAGTTGTGAACAATTGGTGCATTGACATTTTTGTTTAATTTATGTGCTGTTAATTAAGCCACTGAGTTTGAATCATTTTAAAAGAAGTCAAACACTGGTAGCTCTTCTTTATAAAAGAAAAACTATATTGCTAAAGTTGGAGAAATCTATCTAGCTAGCCAGAGAACTTAAAAGGAGATAATTAGGTCTATACATGGAGAACAAGAACAAAGCTGAATATTATAGTCCTGACGATGAATATCGCGATATCGATGATCAAGAAAATATTGTCCATCAGGTATAAACTTTTATCAATACAAGTTTAATTTTTTTGGATCAAACTTCTGAAACTTGAATTTGTTATATATTCATAATTCTTACTATACGTACACTTCGTTAAAATATTGAAAAAAAATATTATCACAACGATCGATTTGCAGACTCATGATTGTAAAGATTGAACAGAATTCTCAATCCATCTCATGAGCTTGCATTTCAAATCACAATTCAGAATAATCTCTTCACATTTTATATATTATGAGTCTGCAAAAGATGATGGTTCTAATAATGAACCAATAATTAACGTGAGTTTGTTAATTAATTTAATACACTTCATCAACTATATATTATTTAGTTCCTCGTAAGATTAATTATGTTTTGTGCTTAATTTAGTTTGGAAAGGGAGATGATAAGTCAAAGCCATCCTCCCCTCACCACAAGGATTACATGAACATTGACAATATAGAGGTAATTAGTTAATGGAACAAATTAAACTCATTCTAATTTCAATGAATTAATTATGTAAATATTTTAGAAACTTAATTTATATGATTCTTATTTGTCATGTACCCTTTCCGTGAGTTAATTTGATACTAGTATTTATTGTACACAATTGATTATTTTTGCCCAGAAAAGAGAAAAATAAATAACAGTTGCTTATAATTAGTACAGTAGTGGTTAGGTTGATCTCGTCACACTTGTGAATTGTCAAAATCTTAGGAGTAAAAAAGTTACCTAATATATAAATAATGTCCAATGAATTTATATATATTGAATTCATAAATTAGAAATAAGTAAGTTAGTACCTCCTCTGTTTCAAAATAAGTGTCGCTTTAATGAAAAATCTAAATAAACTAAAACATATCACTTATTTTGAGACGATCGACGAGAGCAATAGGATAATGAAAAATGTGAAAACCTAATTAATTTCATGATTGGATGCTCCAAGACGCGATAAAGCAACTTGCTTGAGTAGAAAAAGTCTTCTTAACGAGCATAGTTATCAAATAAATTTCATCCTTTTTCTAAACCGTTGACCGTTGACTTGTTGTATGTATATACGTCATACTTAATCATCAGATACGACTTTTCATGACATTTAATTTGACAAACTATATATTCTAGGGCAAAAATTATACAGATTTGTTTGTTAATTTTAATTTTAATGCTTTCAATAGGGAGGTGCTGTTAATGTTATGGTAAAGAGAGAAAGATCCCCACCAGAACACAACTCAATGGCTTCTTCATCTACTCACAAAGAACAGGTTTGGTTTAATATATACTTTTACAAGTTGAATTTTAGAATTGATTTATCATATGATCGGATCCCAAACAGATTCTTATAGTTTAAGTAATTAAACACAAAAAGATTCACCCCTTTCTCTTGTGATGCCCCAATACTTCCTCGGTTATCCCATCGTGAATTAATGAGAAATATGTATTATAAAACATGATTTTTTCACTGAATAGTCTCTATGGGAGAACCTATGATAGGAAATCGATTCTCACAGAAACACTGGGAGAATTTACCTTTTTTCGGACGTATGAAAACACTTTTATTCTTTTCTCACCGATTCAATCAAAATATCTATGATAGTAGCCCCTAAGACTTTTTTTAGTGGGAAATTTCAATGGAAAAAAGTGATTTTTTACTAGGATGCCCTTTATATATTTGAGGAATAAATATAATATTTTTTCATCCGTTCCATTAAATATGATACTATTTTTTTTTAAATAGCTGAAAAAAGGACGATTTTTTTCTCTAAATTTAGAAACAATTTAACTTAGTTTAATTCTTAGTACCCCTCGTGAATCCTTTTATAATCACACAAAATGTTATACATGTTTCAAAAACATTATAACATTACATATTTAAGACCATAAGTTTTAAATGTCTTCACTTTCTTTCTTAAAAATCGTAGGAGGATCAGCTTGCATCAGCCAAAGTTGAAATGCGAGAAGTAATGGAAGAAAATGAGAGGCTTCGAATGCACTTAGATCGAATGATGAAGGAATATCGTAATCTCCAGAATCAATTCCACGATATCGTTAAAAAAGAAACTGATCAAAAATCAAGCAGTACTGTCAACACTAGTACTCATCATGATCAAGAAGCTGATCAACTTGTGTCCCTCAGCTTAGGAAGAACTACTAGCGATATGAAAAAAGACGAGTTAAAGAAAGATAAAGGTCATGACGATGAAAGAGTTATTATTATTAATAATAAAAGCCTTGATTTAGGATTGGATTGCAAGTTTGAAACAACTCCAACAGAATGTTCACCAGTGAATTATAGTCCGGAGAATAGCTTAGACGATCAAGCTAATAAGGATGAAAATGGGAACAAAAATCCCAAGACGATGAGAAATAATGGAGATGGAGATGATGTTTCGCAACAAAACCCTACTAAAAGAGCTAGGGTTTCTGTTAGAGTCAGATGTGATACCCCTACGGTAAGGTTTTTTTTTTTTTTTTTTTGTATATCTGCATGCATTTTGTGACATTGATTATAATTAAGTAAAGAATGCAATCTAATCTATGTAGTATTTAATTGTGTTAATAATGATTTCTCTTTAATTTCCCTTCTTTCTTTCTTTGGTAATATTATTGATCAGATGAATGATGGATGCCAATGGAGAAAATATGGTCAAAAAATTGCAAAAGGAAATCCATGCCCTCGAGCTTACTATCGTTGCACCGTAGCACCAAATTGCCCAGTTAGAAAGCAGGTAATATATATAGGTTTACCAAAATATCAACATGAGTTGTGGTGGGATGATTGAAATTACTTCATTCTTAACTAGATATGTCTCGAGTTTGAACCCATATATCAATGGTAAAAATCCTGTACAATGCATGAATCCGTAATCAGGCTCTTATGGAACACCAAATAAAAGTTATGTCCTATGGAAGCTTATTTAATCCTTACTGATTAATTTAACTTATTTACTAAAAGTGTAAAATATTATTCTGCTTTTTATAGTAATTTAACTTAAAATCAATTTTATTTTATTCATCACAGTTTATCTCGATACAAATTCTTTAATAAAAATAAGGGAAAAGGGTCTGAAAAATACTCCAACTTTGGCCGAAATTGTAGTTACGATACCAAACTTTATGGAGGACATTTTACCCCCTGCACTATTTAATAGTGTATTTTAAAGATATATATATGCCCACGTGGACACATTACTATTTAAAATGATGCGATATTTATGATGTCCACGTAGACACATATATACCTTTAAAATACACTATTAAATAGTACAGGGGTAAAAGGTCCTTTCCAAAGTTTGGTATCGTAACAACAATTTCGGCCGAAGTTGATGTATTTTTCAGACTCTTTTCCCTAAAAATAATAGAAGATTTTTAAAATTTGTGATCTCAAATACATCATTACATTTGTGTGATTATAAATTTTAAAACTTTTTAGTAGTAGTATCAAATAAAGTGAAATGGACTAATAATTAAGGAAGTATTACTAATTATTTTTTAGAAGATCTGATAGTTGAAATTTTATAATGATCCAATTTAGTACTAGTAAATATATCATCAGATAATGAAATTGCATTGCTACTCTTTAGCTAATGGCTACAATTGTTACTTCCTGGTTTTGTAGGTTCAAAGATGTGCCGAAGACATGTCAATATTGATCACAACATATGAAGGAACACACAACCATACTCTTCCTCTTTCAGCCACCGCAATGGCTTCAACCACCTCCGCGGCCGCTAGCATGCTGTTATCCGGTTCGTCTAGTTCATCAGACCCAAACCCACAAGTAACTGCCACCACCACCACCACCCCTACTTCCACTACTTCTGCCAATATCAACGGACTCAACTTCTATCTCTCTGATACCTCAAAACATAATAAATCGCCATATTACTTTCCTAATTCATCCATCTCAACATCTGCACCTAATTCCCTCCCTACAATAACACTCGATTTGACTTCCACTTCGTCCTCGTCCTCCTCCTCCTTATCTCATCTAAACAGAATGAGTCACAATTTTCCAACTAGATATAATTACAATAACAATAATTCCTCCACAAACCTCAATTTTAGCTCAGTACTTGAATCCAATTCCCTTCCCATTTCTTGGACCAATAATTATCCAAATCAAGCCTATAACAAAAATAACCAAAATTTTGGTTCACTTACAGTTTCATCAAGATCAAGTCAAGATAACATTTTCCAATCATATTTACAAAAAAATACTACACAATCTTCTTTACCACCAGAGACAATTGCAGCCGCAACTAAAGCAATAACATCAGACCCAAATTTTCACTCTGCATTAGCTGCAGCCCTTACATCAATCATTGGAAATTCTGGAATTGAAAATAAATCTAGCCATGTTACGGAGCCATTTCCAATTTTGTCCAGTCTCCCATCAAGCTCAAATCCGAACAAATGTTCGTCAAGTTTTTTAAACAAACCAACCTCTTCAGCTTCCGCGAATAATAATAATAATAATAGTAATAGTACACAGCAGCCTGGAAATAATAGCATGGTGTTTTTCGGGCAATCTTCTTCTTCATTGCCATTTTCGACGTCTAATAAGGGTAAATCTACCTCTCCTAGTGATAGTAAGTTCGATTGATTTTTTTTTTATTTTTTTTTCATGTTTTACCTTGGAAATGGACTTTGTACGTAGTTAGCAGGATTAATCATCTGTATAGTCTGTAGATATGTTTTAGTGTCATAAACAATTGACACTTGGGAATTAGCATTTGCAATTTGTTGTTGTTAACTTGAATATTGTTATAAGATTCTTGTACAAAAGTAGATTTTTTTTTAGTAGATGGATTGTTTGCTACATTTTATTTTTTTTGGTGTTTACAAAGATGACTGGGATATTACAAACAGTCCTGAAGATTTAGCAAAAAATAAAAAATAAATTGATGCGAAATTTTCATTTATACTGGATATGTCGTTGTTGTTGTTACGTTATTCAGTTTATCAAATGAAACCTATTGCAGCAAATAGTAATGATACTATTTAGGTTGGTAAATTAACATTTCATCGAAACAATAATCAAACAAATTGATAAACTTCTAGTATAATATCTCTAATTTGATACAGTATTAGATAATTATTAAATTGTTTGTGTTAGTGGATTTTTAAGTCTATTTTTTTCGAATCTAATAATTAGCACAATAATTTGAAATTGAAAAAAATATAGTGGGTTGTCTATCAATCAACTATGATTCAATTTCTGGAATAAAATATACAAAATTGAACTATACAATACACATTGACTAACACACATACAAATACGTCACATACTGCGCTCAAATTACAGATAACTTGCAATTATTTTAGCCTATTTTAGTCTAATTTATTTAAATTTATTTAACTTTCAACTTATTTTAACCCGCTCAAATTCAGCCGAACTCGCTTATTTAACACCACTATATTTGAGAATCGCATTGCAAAATCAGTTGTTCCTCAACTAGTTTACATCATATCCTTTTCATGTTGGAATATATTCTACTTCTTGTTTTGTCAGGCTAGAATTTCTTACGCGTCATGAAAACTTCTTTTATTTTCGTCAATCATATTACTATTTGTTGTATTGTTGATGTCAATCTTATGATTTTTTTGTTTGTTTGTTTGTTGGGTATTAATTGATTGTGTGACCCACTACAAATCTTATTAAGATTGATGAATCCCATTTCACAAATAAAGATTGCTAATATTGTCAGTGTGGTAAGCATCAATCTCCACTAATGCCTGAGGTATTTATGCTGCAATATGTATATTAATTGTCCCAATTTTACTCTTCACTCTTTAGTTTTTTTGGTTGTAGTATAGACGTTGAAGTTAAGTTCGGCCTTCTCTAAAAAGCTGAAATGAAACAAAAGAATTTAAAGAGAATAGAAAAAAATATGTCCATTCACCAATTATATCATGTAATTAAATACAGTAAAATCTCTATAAATTAATACTTGATAATTAATAATCTCTCTAAAATAATATTTTTCTCTGATCTCAACTTGGACCAATGGAAAAAATCACCAATTTCAATAAGATAATAAGATAATATATTTCTAGAAGACCTCTATATAAATATATGGTCCCATTAATATCATAAATTAATAATTCTTTAAAAATACAAATATATCTAAGACAATTTTGTGAAATACGATTCTATTGTGTTCTGTTTTTTCTTAAAATTTAAATCTAGCTGAAGCTCATTTCAAACTTTTATTATTGCATCCAAGAGCTCTGGTGTTGTCTTTTCGAACTGCACCATAAAATTGTGAAAAGTTCTAGATGCGATAAGTGCTTCCTTACGCGTAACTGGTTCCAAAGGTATTCAACATTGCTTTTTTCGATCGTATTCACAATTTCTTTTAAGCTCTGGACCTCTGAACATATATCACTTTCACTCGGATAATCCAACATGTTATTGACATCCATTTTATTGTGGTAACCAAGATCATTAATCATGACCGCCTCAAGTTCATGAATACCGTTTTCAAAAGTGGGTTTATTCAAATTCAATTATCTGAGATTGCATCCCCTGAACGAATTTTGCAGTGTCGAAAATAATTTGCTATTGTCTTTTGCTGAACATTTGTTGTCCAAGCAGGGAGTGCAAAATTTATAGCATACAAAATATTAATCTTTGTTGGATCACTCTGTCCCACTTCATAGCTTCTAATATCCTACGATAAAATCTGTTACGATAATACATCTTGAAAGAAAGCTCTTATTATCCCCGCATCACAAGGTTGAATTTTTTATGTCATGTTGGGTGGAAAGAAAAACAATTCAAACATTTTGTAAGTCCTTACAATATTTCTATTATGAGCTCGACAATTATCTACCATAAGCAAAACTCATCTACCATGCATTTTGTGGTCAAAGAAACGAATATATTCATCAAAAAACACACTAGTCATCCATGCTCTTTTGTTTGCACGAGTGACAATTCAAGTTGTTCATGTTTACATTTTTGAAGCAACGTGACTTTGCATATTTTCCAATAATCCATAAATTAAAGGAATTTTTTTAGATCCATCTTTTTTGCAACAAATTAAATAACAATTGTGAGCCTTTCTTTGTCCTGTTTTCTTCCTTCAAGTTGTTTTGTAGCAAGAGAATGATCAGCTTGTAACCTATAAAATACCAGTTTCATCCATATTAAAAACATCTTTACTAGAAAATTGAACTATTTTTTTTCTTATGGATTCCAATTCCATCTACATGTCTTGTTTATCAACTAAACCACTCTCTCCAAAACGAGGAAATGACTTGATACCATGTTTTAGCTTGAATATTTCAAGTCAACCTAGAGATAATTTGTGCTTAAAATCTTGCTGAGGATAAAAAAGTTTCATGTCATCTATTGCCTTCTCCAAAATTAACTCTAATGTTACATTCACACGGTCTTGATATTGGAGAAACCACTCATAAATAACCTTCTCCATGTCTAGATATTTTGCTGGCTTGTGTCGGTTGATATCCTTTCCTTTTTCTAAGTCAGTTGAAATATATTTAGCTGATCGTTTGAGTGTGTTTGATATTGTACTTTGACTAACTTTCAAATGGAAGTTTTCATGAAGCCACGAATGTAAATCTTTTTGAGTGCATGGGAAATGATCTCTTTTGTACTCACATAATGCTTCACGTATTTGATATGTCATTGTTGATTTTGTGACACCTTTTAAATGAGAAGCCATTTTTGGATATGGTTTAAAGAAATTTCCTATGTTGCTTATATAGTTTTTTTTCTCACCATCATACATAGAATGTTTTTTATAAAAATACAATGAATAATAATTGATTATTAAGAAACAATGAATATTATGTATACTTTTACAATGAATGATTGATTTCTTGAATTTGTTTAGAGTGAATCATTTAACAAAAAAATATATTACAATGAATCATACACATACATTGTACTTTATGTATAATAAATTTAATATTTATGTGATATCAATAAATATGATACATAAGTTAGTAAGATACAATGATTTTGATGTATTCATTGTACTTTATGTATAATAATTTTTTGTTATGTGAAATCAATAAATATGATACATAAATAAGTAAGATACAATGATTCTGATATAATAAAAACTAACCTTCATTAAATTTCAAACCATTCTTTAAATTAATAAATATTAATTTATCGATTAAATAATATCTCTATAAAATAATAAAATTTTATGGTCCCACCTATATTAATTTATAGAGATTTTACTGTATCTAAGACAATTTAGTGAAATACGATTCTATTGTGTTCTGTTTTTCTTAAAATTTAAATCTAGCTGAAGCTCATTTCTAACTTTTCTTATTGCATCCAAGAGCTCTAGTGTTGTCTTTTCGAACTGTACCATAAAATTGTGAAAAGTTCTAGATGCGATAAGTGCTTCCTTACGCGTAACTGGTTCCAAAGGTATTCAACATTGCTTTTTTCGATCGTATCCACAATTTCTTCTAAGCTCTGGACCTCTGAACATGTATCACTTTTATTGACATCCATTTTATTTAGGTAACCGAGATCATTAATCATGACCGCCTCAAGTTCATGAATGCCATTTTCAAAAGTGGGTTTATTCAAATTCAATTCTCTGAGATTGCATCCCCTGAACGAATTTTGCAGTGTCAAAAATAATTTGCTATTGTCTCTTGCTGAACATTTGTTGTCCAAGCAGGGAGTGCAAAATTTATAGCATACAAAATATTAATCTTTGTTGGATCACTCTGTCCCACTTCATAGCCTTCTAATATCCTACGATAAAATCTGTTACGATAATACATCTTGAAAGAAAACTCTTATTATCCCAGCATTACAAGGTTGAATTTTTGATGTCATGTTGGGTGGAAAGAAAAACAATTCAACATTTTGTAGTCCTTCAATATTTCTATTATGAGCTCGACAATTATCTACCATAAGCAAAACTCATCTACCATGCATTTTGTGGTCAAAGAAACGAATATATTCATCAAAAAACACACTAGTCATCCATGCTCTTTTGTTTGCACGAGTGACAATTCAAGTTGTTCATGTTTACATTTTTGAAGCAACGTGACTTTGCATATTTTCCAATAATCCATAAATTAAAGGAATTTTTTTAGATCCATCTTTTTTGCAACAAATTAAATAACAATTGTGAGCCTTTCTTTGTCTTGTTTTTTTCCTTCAAGTTATTTTGTAGCAAGAGAATGATTAGCTTTTAACCTATAAAATACCAATTTCATCCATATTAAAAACATCTTTCATAGGAAATTGATTTTTTTTTTTATGAATTCCAATTTCGTCTACATGTCTTGTGTATCAACTGAACCACTCTCTCCAAAACGAGGAAATGACTTGATACCATGTCTTAGCTTGAATTTTTCAAGTCAACCTAGAGATAATTTGTGCTTAAAATCTTGCCGAGGCTAAAAAAGTTTCATGTCATCTATTGCCTTCTCCAAAATTAACTCTAATGTTACATTCACACGGTCTTGATATTGGAGAAACCACTCATAAATAACCTTCTCCATGTCTAGATATTTTGCTGGCTTGTGTCGCTTGATATCCTTTCCTTTTTCTAAGTCAGCTGAAATATATTTAGCTGATAGTTTGAGTGTGTTTGATATTGTACTTTGACTAACTTTCAAATGGAAGTTTTCATGAAGCCACGACTGTAAATCTTCTTGAGTGCATGTGGAATGATCTCTTTTGTACTCACATAATGCTTCACATATTTGATATGTCATTATTGATTTTGTGACACCTTTTAAATGA